AATGGTTTCAATCCTTGGAATATACTAAAACATACTTCATGGTATTGCTTAGGACTTATTTCCTTACTCTTAAGTCAATGTTGTTTTCTTTCAGTCATCTGCAAGCTCATCTGATACAAGTTCAAGCACTTTAGAATAGACATGCATCAGTTACATTTTAAAAATATAAAAGGGGGAGATGTGCAAGAGTGGTGACTTAGATCATGGTCTCTGCCTCACGGCTATGGCTGAACTTGTGCTGGGAACTTTCTGAGCAAATATGCAGAAAAAGATTGCCCAGTTACTATGGTGATGCCCTGCCTGATGAAGTTCTGTGCAAAGGCCCAGAACTCTATGAGTCTGGACCTTAAGGTCAGCTGCTGGGGATAGAGGATTCTGAACATACAAGATAACCACAATGACTCACAAGTGCTGTGACCTTCAAACTTGTTTGCTTTACAGAAACTTTCCCACGAAAAACCTTTTGATGATAATATAATAAATGTACTATACTAGCTCTGTGTCATTGTTCCCCCACCAGAGGATGTTGTCTCTCCTGGTCCCAACTTTCTCTCCGTAAATTTTTGTGTGTCTTTCTTAATTCCCCATTGACCCTCCTTGATTTCTAAGGTTCTCTTGTGAAGGTCTCAGCATCAGTTCTTAAATTTCTAGTCCAGAAGGGGATAGGGTCAATAATTGCAATAAATATAACTTGGATAAAGTCCACTTTAGAGAACCTCTCCTGGTATTGATTCCAATGGATACCTGCTCTGGCTGAATTAAAAAGACATTAGTTTTTAGAACAGTTATGAATTTCCAGAACAATTGAGAAGATAGTATCAAGAGTTCACATGTACCACACATCCAGTTTCTCCTATTATTAATATCACATTATTAAAGAACCGGTACTGATGCGTTATATTACATTATTTTTTCTTAGCTTTTATGTAAAGTCATTTTTCTGTTCCAGGACCTAATTCAGGTTCCCTCATTACATTTGGTCATGTCTTCTTAAGGTTCCACTTGGCTGTGACAGTTTTCCAGACTTCCCTTGTTTTTGATGACCTTGACAATTTTAACAAGTACTGCTCAGCTATATTTAGGATATCCCTCTATTGGGATGACTTAAAATTCTTTCTCATTATACTGGAATTATGAGTTCTGGAAAAATACTACAAAGGTAAAGTATAATTTTGATCTCATTTTATCAAGTATCCATACAATCAACATAGTCTATCACTTGATGTTAATTAATAACATGGCTGAACAAGTTTTTGTCAGGCTTTTCTACTAAATCACTCTCTTTTCTTCTTTGCAAACTATAGTTTTTGAAAGGAAGTCACTATGATCAATTCCCACTTAAGGAGTGAAGAGCTTTTCTCTTCCTCTTTGAGGGTATAGTATCTACATAAATTTTTAGAATCTGCACATGATTTTCTCTTCTCTTCCATTCATTTATTTATCTAATTATGTATTTATATAAGTATGCTATCTTGATTGTTAGTATTTTACATTGAGTTGTAACCCCATACTATTTTATTTTGCTGTTCAAATTATTCCAGCTTTGGCCTCGAAGAGCCCATTTAGCTCATTGTCTTTGGCATAGTCCCATTAAAATGGAATTCTTTGAGCAAGAATTAAAGATAGACTTGTCTTATATATTTTCTGATCAAGTCCTAGAATCAGCCTTTTCTCCAAGGATTCTTGGTTCCTTTATTGTTAAAGTCTGGGTTCTAGGTTTACTTATTGCTACTAGGTATTGTCTCTTTTAGGCAGTCTCAGCTGACAAAGCAGAGAAATATGTATGCATACTAACTCCTGAATATTCACACATCTATAAATATTTCTGTACATAACTATATGTATCTATTTTATGCCAAAATCTGTTCATAAGATGTTCCAACATTAGTCCATTGGTATATGGATCATTCTATTCTCCTCCCGTTGCTTATGTTGATTCTTACTCCAAAAGCAAGAAACCTGTTTCCCACCATCCCTCATTTATTTATTTAACTATTCCAGTGTATATGCATACCATTTCAGAATTGTTAACTTATATTTCCAACTTCATTAAATATTGTTTAATGTTTATATGCTGTTTCTTTTGCCATTAGTTTTAAGGATTCTATTCAGTTCCAGAGTTACTTAGGTAAGAAGATTTCCTCACCCCTTTCAGTGAGGATACATTACATTTGTAAAGCAGTTAGATTATCTTGTCACAGTCTGCATTCCTTTTTGGAAAACACCGATCTCCTAAATGATTTTTTGTAATTCACCTACAAGTTTCACTCTTTGTGCTATAAAGTTCTAAATGTTTATGGTCTCCCTGTCCTAAAATTCCTCTGTGCTTCACCTATTAAAGCTTCTCTTTTTCTGAATCTGTGGCAACCACTAATCTTTTTACTGTCTCTATAGTTTTACCTTTTATGCAATGTCAAAGAATTGAAATCATACATTATGTAATTATTTCAGACTGGTTTCTTTCACTTATCAATATTCATTTAAAGTTCATCTTCTTCATCTTATGGCTTGAGAGCTCACCTCCTTTTTTATGGATAAATAATATACCATTGTGTGGTTATATGACAATTTGTTTATTCATCACCTATTGAAGAACATCTTAGTTTTTGGAGAGTATGAATGAAAGTGCTATCAACATTCATATGGAGGTTTCTGTGAGGATATAAATTTCAAATTAGTTGTGTAAATAGCTAGAAACATGACTGCTCATAGTTTAGCACTGTTTAATACAGTTAAGCTATTTTTAGCTTTGAAAGAAGTTTTGTTAGTTTTCCAAGCAATCATCTAAAGTGACTTACTATAGTTTGGATCTTTAAATGTCTCCTAAAGGCCCATGTGTTAAAGCCCTAGTCTCCAGCCTATGGACCAGTTGGGAGATGGTGTAATTTTTAAAAGGTGGGGATGAGTGGAAGGAAGTTAGGTCACTGGGGATATACCCTCGAATAGGATATTGGAGCCCCCACCTGACTGCTATCAAGTGAATTAGTGTCCTCTGCTACATACTCCTGCCATGATGTGATGTGCTCTTACAGACCCTCAGCAACAGGGCCAATTGATCATGGACTGGAATCTCTGAAACTGTGAGCAAAAATAAACCTTTCCTCTTTTTAAGTTAATTAAAAATTAAGTTAATTATCTCTTGTTACAGTGACAGCTGACTAACAGTGACTAACAGTGATTGATTTTTTTTTTTTTTGTACAGGAGATTGAATTCAGGGTGGCACAACCATTGAGCCACATTCCCAGCCCTGTTTTGTATTTTATTTAAAGACAGGGTCTCACTGAGTTGCTTAGCACCTCACTCTTGCTGAGGCTGGCTTTGAACTCGAGATCCTCCTGCCTCAGCCTCCCCAGTCGCTGGGATTTCAGGTGTGCATACACCACCCAGCAATTAAATCATTTTTATTCCTGTCAAAATGAATGATAGCTCCTGTTGCTCCATATCTTTGTCAGCTTTTGGACTTTAGCTATTTTTCCAGGAATGTAGTGGTATTTTATGGTTATTTAATTTGCATTTCCTTAATGCAAATGATATTAAATATATTTCTTTTATGTGCTTTCTTTTTCATCTGTGTATCTTGTTTGTGTTTGGTAGGTTATCTGTTCAGATATTCTGCAAATTTTTAGCTGGCTTGTTTAATTTTTGTTATTAAGTTTAAAATTTATATATATATATATATATATATATATATATATTTGAGGTACAAAACATTTCTTTTTCTTTTCTTTTTTTTTTTTTTTTTTTTTTTGGTACCAAGCACTCAGCCACTGACTGAGCCAAATCCCCAGCCCTATTTTGTATTTTTATTTAGAGACAGGGTCTCACTGAGTTGCTTAGCATCTTGATTTTGTGGAGGCTGGCTTTGAACTCATGATCCTCCTGCTTCAGCCTCACCAGCTGCTGGGATTACAGATGTGTGCCATGGCACCGGGCACTTTCTTTATCAGAAAGTTTCACAAATATTTTCTCCTAACAGTGCCTTTTTGCACAGCAGCAGTTTAAAATTAATTTTTGTGTGTGTGATTTTTTGATTTAATGGATTTTAAAAAATATATTTTGATTTAGATCTAAAATCTAGTTGCTAAAATTTTCTGTTTTCTTCTAGGTTGTTTCTTTGTGTCAAATTGACATATCAGCAAGACAAGATGCTCATTCTTAGTGATATACTTTTTAAAGAACAATTTTCTAACAGTCTGTAACTTTTGAAAACAAATTTTCTCAGTCAAAAAGCAGTTCTGAAAAGAGATTGTTATGACTCTTCACAGCTGCAGCCAGCCCCAGGGAGAAATAATTCCTGTTGACTTTGCAGATGGTTTTATCTATGACTCTTATTGTCTTAACTGGAATATCGAATCAATCGTCTGATATGTGTGTGCGTGTGTGTGTGTATACACACACATATATACATATATATACGCATATATGTATGTGTGTGTGTGTGTGTATATATATATATATACATATATACACATACATATACATACACACATATTAAACATTTTATAAGGAACTTGCTGGAAGAGGTTCTCCTCCACATATTCAAATCTTCATCTCTTTAGACTTGACTTCTTTCTTCTAGGTATCCCAAGGTCACCTAAAGGCATTGGGAAACAAAGACCCTATTACTTTTCAGCTTCAGGTCAAATTCCACCTAACCCTGGGGACGAGGCGGGAGTCTGACTTAGGGAAAAGGGGGGCTGCCTGAAGTTATTGGTACGGATGTCTTCATTGAGCCCTCACTATGGGAAGGTCAGCAGAATGTGGGTGGGTGCAGACACCGGCCGCCAGGCCACAACGCCAGCCTCTGAGGTCTCCAGCTCTCTGGAACGCTCAATACCCTCCGCTCGCCCAGAAATCGGATCCTGGCCCCGCCCCTAAGGACCCGGCTCCTCTGGGCTCCGCCTTCCCAGGGGTCCGTCTCCTGGCCCCGCCCCTGAGGACTCGGCTCCTCTCGGACCAACCCCACCCGGAGCTCTGCTCCTGGCCCCGCCCAGCACAGCGACCCAGAACCCGGCAGCTGGCCCAAGCGCTTGCTCCGCCAGGCCGGGTGGGGGCAGAGCCGGCTTCTGGCGGTGAGGATTCCAGCTGCGGGAGGTGGAACCCGGGGTGGGAAGCCGGTGTTACGGCCATGACAGTATTGGCCCGTGGTTCCTCGCTCCTCCGTGGTCTCCTGGGCCGAGGGCCGGCGCTGGGCGAGAGCGCTGCACCCCGCGTGGTGTCCCCGGGAACGGCCCGGCGCGGGTCCGCTGGCTTTCGGAGCAGCGGCGTGAGGTACGGGCACTGCGGGCGCGGGCCGCTGAGCCGCTGGCCGTGGGATGCGGTGACTGGCGCCCTCAGCACGAGAGCGGCGCGCGGGCCAAAGCCGATTGGGAGTCGCGCTAGGCGCGCTAGGGGCGAGGCCAGCCTTCGCGGTGAACGTGGTCTTGCGGGCAGGTGGCCTTTGCCTGGTCTCGGCCACTGGGACGCACTCCGCCCTGTGCTGCCGCCCCAGCACCTTACATCTTTGCAGCAATTGCAGTTGAGTGACTTATGAAGACATTTGAAGCTCCCAGGAAAGGTGCCATAAAAGCCTGTCTGCTTGGTCAAACAGTTGTTTCTGTTTTGGTTACTGTTGTGTTTCCGAGGAATTGTCCAGAATTTAGTTGTTCAGAATTTCTCACAATGATATGTGAGAAAATAACTGTGATTCAGAGGACTGGTTGTGTGAATTCCTTTCTTTGCTGAGCTCTTATCCAGATCTAAAATTCTTAATGGTTTCACAAAACCAGACGTTCAACCTGATTCTCTGGCGCTTCCCAAACTTCTCTCAGGCGTTCAGTTTTAGATTTATTACATCCCTGTGGACTTGTTTGCGGCTAGTACAATGTAGATGCACAGTGGAACCCAGAAACAGTTCACCTACTTTACTTACTTTAGTTAGAAAATACAACTTAAGCTAAAATTGCATTCACTCAGAGCCAGCGATTCCAGAAGAACCTTTGTTTTCAAACGTTCAGGGCTTCCAAAAAGGCATTTTCTCTGCTGTTTTACATGACCAGACATTGTCCTGTACTTTAGTATTTCTAGTGCCTGGTATGCTACTTGGAAAGAGTAATAGTATGTAATCATAGATGCTGTTTATTTAATTTAAATTAATTCATTCCCGACTGTATACATTTGGGTCTTAGTCTTGAGTGACTGAGTTCAGTTTACTATAGAGTTTACTTTGGACATGGTTTCTAGTAACTAGGCCTTCCACAGTGATATGTGAGAAAATAACAGTGATTCAGAGAACTGGTTGTGTAAAGTGTAAATGGTGTCTAAGAACTTGTGATTTGGAATTACCAGTCAGCTGTACTTCCTAGAAAAATAAAATTCTGTAGAATTCTATTTGCTATTTGTATTACAGAACTGTGGGGGTTATTTAATATTGCCAGTCTAAATTATTTAGATAGATCATCATTCTTTGAATTTCCATTGTTTTAAGGCTTCTTTCCAGAGTATAATAACCTTTTTCGAATTGTACAAGTTGATTAATTTCTCGTTGTCAGGTTGATGTAAGCACTTCCATCTCCCCATCCTTTCTGTTACCTGTGACCATTGAGTAGGTCGCAAACAATATATAACCAAAATATTTGGTAGTAGCTACGCGTTTCATATGCAATAGCACATATACACTTATGGAGAATTTAGATCTTATTTGAAAGCCTCCTTATAATTTAAAATAATTGAGTGAAATGGTTTTGGAAAGCTATTATTCATATGAATGTTAAGAGGTATTACTTTCAGAAGTCTGGCTGCTTTCTGCACCATTTCATGCAGATTACAATTATGTAAAAGTAAATAATATTTTTAAAGACAGAAGTAATCAAATTAAGATAGGTAATATTTTTGACATTCTGTTGGCACTGATTACCATATTTGAAGGTGAGGTTGGCTGTAAGGTTGAGAAACACCTGTGGACTGGTGGATCTCGGGTGGGGAGGACTTTGGACAGTGTGTTGATGCTTATTGGTGTCTCTTTTCTCTTCTAGGACCAGCAGAGAGAAGAGATTCCATCCTCCAGAGGTCGCCACTGTCTGCCTCCCCACTTGTCCCTATCCTCAGTCATCTTTTAAAAAATGTATAGTGACACATTAGTTATCTAGTTCTGCATAGTGAATGTCACTTGTATTTAATATTATTCCTATTGAAAGAAATTTGGAGCTTAGCATTATTTTGACTGAAAATTACCTTTCAGTTTGATAACTCTTTCCCTAGTGATATTGACTGTTTTAAATGAACAGATCTGTCACCAGATTCTGAGTGTTCTAAAGCCTGAAATGAAAAATATTTTTAATTATTTTTTTATATTTGTGACTATAATTTGTGACACTTATAATAATGGGATATATTAAATGCATTTTAAATGGAGAAGTTTTTAAATAAGAATTTCAAGAAATAATATTTGATGGAATTTGGAAAATTCAAATTCTTGAGGTATTATTTAACATTTTCAGTGGTTTTCTCTGTAAAATTTGCAATGAGATTTTCCCCCATTTATGAATGAAATGTTAGATATTATTAATTGGGGAAAATTAATTATTATCAAATAAATAAACCCTTCTGTTTATTGTAGTTTCTTATTTCTTGAAATTGCCTACACATGCTGTGCTTAATAAGGAGTTAATAAATTTGAAGTATCCTGGGTTGTAAATATCATGTGAATTTTGGGTTAGGGCTTTTCAGTGGAGGGAGGGAGCCTGGCAGCAGCCTATCCCATGTGGGTAGACAGTGTATATTAATTCCAGGATCAAAGCAGATTTACAGGTATCCTACAACATAGGAACTTCTCCAAATCCTGCTTTAGATCACTGTACATGAACTACTCATTTTCAGTAACTAAATGAAAATCCCATGTATTTGTTTCTGTTTATCTTGCTGCTTAGTGATTTCTCCAATCATTATTTTGAAAGATTGTCTTTTTTTCCCTCCTTGCAAATACTCTTAATTCTTAGCATCTATAAACTTTTGTGTACCAGCCCTACAGCTTTTTATTAAGGCCTCACCTTTCTGTATGTCTCACTGCCAATGGCTATAATTTTTACACCTAGGCCAACATTAAAAAATATATATATACATATACACACACACACACATAAACACACACACACATAAACACACATACATTTTTGGAGCTAGTAAACATGCTATGGTATGTAGATATTCATGACTTTTTGAGTGGGTAGATGTGTTTAATCATTTAACAAAGACAAATTTTAGCAGTAACACTTTATTTTTCTTCACTTTGCTTTAGTATTTACTCAGTATTTCTGTCTCTGCAGTAGAGTTATCATTTGATTTAAAGACCCATTGTACTCTTTTGAAGGACCCAGACTGTAGTTAGGCCATTATAAAAGTTGATTTTGTGTAGATTGATTTTAATCATTGTAGAGTTAATCTTAAAGGCAGTCCAGTGACAGTTTCTCAAAATCATATTCTGTTTTGTTGACAAATGTAGTGTGGTTTTTCCTATCTTACTGCATTATTTTATTCTAGTGAAAGTATGATATAATAGCCATCTGTGTACAATTTTGATTTCTAAGCAGTTCTTGTGTCATAAATTTAGAAATTAAATGTTTTACCATTTGGTATCTCATGCTTTAGTTTAATCATTGCATCTGTGTCCAGCTGTTCAGAGATAATGTGTATTTCCAAAACCAAGTTTTTTGTTAAAATGGGTCAGTAGAGGAAAAAAAAAGGGACTGATGTTAATCTTAGATCTTGTTAGTCATGGTCTTAGTTATAATTTCGCATTATCTTAAATGACCGGAATCTTTGTTTTTGAAATGCTTTGAAGTTATGTTATATTTTCTTGTTAATACCCTTGATTGGATAATAAAAACAGCAGCAGGGGAGTAAAAAAACCCAAGTAAACTAAAGCACTAGATTATCTTTCACAGCTGTATAAGTTTTGAAAATAGCTTGGCTTAGAGATGATGAAGTTGTTGATAGAGTTAGGAATAGCTTAGATGAAATTTGAACTGTAAAGTGGGATAAACTGAAAGAACAATTTGTAACTAATGATATTTTCTATTAAAAATTGCAAATTGGATCCAAGAAAATAGAAATCTTTGTAGTCAGAATGAATCATAATCCAAACTAACAAAATAGTAGTGCCAAAGAAGATCTTACAGCTGAATATATCCAAGAAGGCTTATGACTACTGTATTTAACATTACATCATGAGCTTTTTTGGTGTGTTGTTAGTTTTTTTTGTTTGTTTTTTTTTTTTTTTTTTAACATTTCAATGTGTGCATGATATTACATTGAATCATTTGTCTACTTCTTAACCTGGTCATCTTGCTATTAATGTTTAGTTCTTGAAAAATGAAATAATTTACTTTAAGATTCAGGTCATGTATTTGTCAACATCATACCAGCCAGGTTTCTTCACTTAATGATCTATGATTACACTCATTAAAACCTGTGTTTTGAACCAAAAGTTTTGTAATTCTAAAGATTTGTAATTCTAAAGTGAGGACCTTTATGTGATTTAAAACAGAGATGTTCACCCTTTTTCATTTTTCTCTTTATAACTTCGCAATGAATGTCATCTTGCCTTTAAGAAACCCATTTTTATTGTTGAGAAATAAATTTTTATTAATATACAAGGAGGCTTTACGCATTTTGCAGAGATTTTTTACATACAATATATTTTTAAATTCTTAAAACAACTGATGGAAGTGGGTACTACTGCTATCCTGAGTTAACAGATTGGGAGGTCACTAACATCTAATAAATCCAGCATTTTTTTCCATTGTAAATATTGGCAGCAAATCACAATACTGTTGGTGCTTGTAATATAACCAATAAAAAGCACAAATATATTAACATAGAGTGAATGCAGAGGGGCTGGGACTGTAGCTCAGTGGTTAAGTGCTTGTCTTGCCTGTGTGAGGCACTGGGTTCATCCTCAGCACCACATAAAAGTAAAGATATTGTGTGTCCATCTACAACTAAAAAAATATTTTAAAAATAGAGTGGACACAGATACCTATAAACATCTATATTTATATATTCATCATTTCTTTGATATTATGGTAGTTAAAACATCTGCCCTTAGATCCTGTTATTTAATGCTTCATTTTAAAAAAAGAAATAATTTGATTACAATATATCAAAAAACCTGGTTTTCCTTGTAATCTTACATATTCTATCTTAAACATTTAAAACAGTTATTCTGAGAATATATCTCTAAATTTCAGCATATGAACCAGGAGTTCTCACAGCACAAAGATTAGCATCCAAGA